CGGTTAAGCGTCCGACTTCAGCCAGGTCACGATCTCGCGGTCCGTGAGTTCGAGCCCCGCGTCGGGCTCTGGGCTGATGGCTCAGAGCCTGGAGCCTGTTTCCGATTCTGTGTCTCCCTCTCTCTCTGCCCCTCCCCCGTTCATGCTCTGTCTCTGTCTGTCCCAAAAATAAATAAACGTTGAAAAAAAAAATTAAAAAAAAATAAAATAAAATAAAAAAAAAATAAAGCAGGCTCCAGGCTCTGAGCTGTCAGCACAGAGCCTGACGTGGGGCTCGAGATCATGGACTGTGAGATCATGACCTGAGCCAAAGTCAGATGCTTAACCGACTGAGCCAACCAGGCGCCCCAGAGTTCATATTTTAAAATGAAAAAAACTGAAAACCAAATGGATAATCACATTGTAATATGGTAAATGCCATAATTGAATTATGAACTAATGTCATGAATGAACTATGAACTATGAACTATGTCATGTATGCTGCATGACAGCAGGGGTGATCCAGGCCGTGTTCATCTTTGTGCTAACTGGCTAGCACTGTGCATAGCATACAGTGACTATACAATTAACGTTGGTGAAAGTAAGATTTAACTGCATTTGATTAACCTAACTTCCCTTTTCTTTCCCTTTGTTTTTTAGAATGCAAAGTATGGAGGAACCCTCTAAATCTTTTCAGAGGAGCAGAATATAGGAGGTATTACATTTTGCTTTCAGTAGAATTATGGCATTAGTTTTAGACTAAAAAGTATTATGGAAACATTTGTTTTATAAATATATCACAGCTCTTCTAGTTGGAGACATTGATACATAAAAAGGTAAAATGAGGAGCCCAAGGTTTAGTTGGCAGCATCTTCACTGTATTTACATTTTTTTAGTTTATTTATTTATTTTGAGAGAGAATGTGAGCAGGGGAGGGGCAGAGAGAGAGAGAGAGACTCAGACTCCCAAGCAGGCTCTGCACTGTCAGCACAGAGCCCAACACAAGGCTGGATCTCACCAACCATGAGATCATGACCTGAGCCGAAATCAAGAG